TTTCACAAGGAGGGAAAACTGTACTTGTTGCCAAGCAAGAGTCAAAAATTACACAGAAGTTTAAATAAATTTAAACTTTAAATAACTTCTCTCAGACAATATATTCTTTTAACATTGTTTTGGTGTAGATCCTGTACCCATGTTTTAACTTTGGATGTAGCCTAGAATATTGTCCAAAGGAAAATAGAGTGGTTTTTATTTTATTAGTAATAGTTAATATTTTCATTATAGAATTTTCACCCTTTTACAGGGAAGTCTCTATGTTAGATAAGAAAAGAGTCAAACAAATCCATTACCTTCCTATAGAAGAGCTAGTTTCTTGTAACCTTTGTTTAGGTTTTAATCACCCCAGAAGTTTTATCCCTCTTAGGGCCCATGGGTTGGCTCACATGTCCTATGAGTAAATACAAATGCTTCCTTCAATTGGAAGCAAAACCAGTACACCCCTTACTTATAAAGTGAGTTAAAAAACAAGAAGAAAGAATAATATAAAAACTGAAGGAAGGTAGTAAGTAAAGTATTTAGCTTTCTGAAACAATTCAAATGGGGATAGGAAGTTGGTTTTAAATGGCTTAAGGGAGATTAGGGTTTTAAAGTTGGATAAGGAGTTTGGTGCTTTGGTTTAGGCATGGCATTGCTTTTAAAAGATTACTTCCATATTTGACAACAATTCTCACTGGAGATTATAAAGCAAATAGTCAATTTTAAAACACTATGGAATACAAGAGGGCTTCTTTTTGTTGTTGTTTGTTTATACAAAATGATTGCCTAGAGTTAACAGGCTGAGTCCTGAAGCCCACATTTCATAACACTACTGAGGATCTGTCACCAGGGAGAATTCAGCAGAGGTTGTTTAATGCACTTAATTGAGATTATCTGAGCTTTTGGTTTAAATTACTTTGGGAAAAGTCTAGGTACAAACGGCTTCTTTGAAAGGTAAACATACTTAACCTCTAAGAAAAAAGGTTCAATTTAAGTTCTTTGAAATTCTTCAAACAGGTAGTAGCACCAACCCTTACTAATTAAATGAGTATAAACTGAATAATGTGTAAAGATTAAATCTCCATACATCAGTACAAGTGTTAATATAATTCTATGAACAGTGTGTTTATTATTGTACACTTGTTTGAAAATGCAGTCAGGTACCGTATTAGAAAATCATCCCCTGCCAATTTAGGAATTTCAAAAGTAAAAAGATAGTACATGCTATTTTGGTTATAAAGTATATTTAATGATAAAGTTTAAAAATTGAATTCCTTATTTTGTTCCACCTAGGAAGGAGGGCACATTAAGATCAAGGATCAAGAATGACATATACTTTATGTATTAGCTGTGGATAAATACTCAAAAGTTGGTTTAACATTTTTGCCGTGTCTTCCTCAGCTCCTTGACCTGTTTATGGTTTGGGATTGGTCTACTTATCTAGCTGATTATGGACAGCCTGCTTCTAAGTACCTTCGGGTGAATCCAAACACAGCTCTTACTCTTTTGGAGAAGTGAGTATATTCTGAAAACATTTTTGCATAACATTTTAGCATTTTGTGATTTCGTGATGATTGAAGAACTAGAGATTTTCAACAAAAGAGAAATGTCTAAATGGAGCTTAAAAGCTCAGTCCATTTTAATGGCCAAAACATAAGCCTCTTTCTTTCTTGGTGCAGTGTTGGTGTAGTTTTTATATGAGATTGCTGTTTATGTTCATGTGAACAAAAATTTTCCTATTGCATCCTCAATAGCAGGCTTAATTGGCCTTAGGAATATGTTTACTGGAGATGAGTGAGAATTGGAACTTTTTTTTTTAATGGTATAACACAGAAAAGAAGGTGTTTTGTAAAATGTGGCTAGCCATTGGCATGTTTGCTGTCGATATCCTACCATGATGGACTTGGATTCTTTGTGCAGATAGAGAAGTATGTGATAAAAAATAAATAAATAGAAAAAATAAAATAGTAAGAACTGAAGTAACAGGACATTTGCTGGTGCATCTTGTCCAATTAAAAATGACAGAAGTTTAGGGGTTACTTTTCCCTCACTGTGTGACAGATTTTCCTTTCGCTTAATCATATTTCATTTTAGGTATCAGTATGAAAAATATCTATTATTTTCCCACATTTCAAATATCTGTGATGTATTTGATGTGAGAGGACAGAAAGAACTGTTTAAAATAAATGTAAATTTACCATATCATGAAACACTACTGAGGCCAAAAATAAATAAATAAATATTGCTTTAAATTTTCTAATGTTATTTTTCTTTCACCTTGTCTTGCTATGAATGTGATTTGCAGAGTCCATAGAGGGTATGTATTTTAGCATACTTTGTGGAATGATATTAGAAAATAGTATGATATTAGAAAATGTAACATAGTTTAGATTTACATACTAATGCAAAAACACTACTTCATGTAGAATGTAAAATGAAGCTGCTAACTTTTTGTGTGGTCGCTATCTCTGTATTTTTATTAGTACCTATTTTCTTTGAAGAATATTTTTCAAGCATAGGACTGGTGTGAGATAATTCAGAGCATGCCAAGATAATTTACTTATGACAGCATAGCTTTTAATTTCCTTTTACCAAGCCTCTCCATTCACATATATTCCTAGGATGAAGGATACTAGCAAAAAGAACAACATATTTGCTCAGTTCAGGAAGAATGATCGAGACAAACAGAAGTTGATAGAGACAGTCGTGAAACAGCTAAGAAGTTTGGTGAATGGTATGTCCCAGCACACCTAGACTTCGATTGCACTCAGTGACACCAAATCTGTGATTCAACATTGATCTCTAACAGGCACAGGTCATGATACAGTAATTTGGTTGCAGAATTAAAAAATGGAGTAGAAAAAAGACACTAATGAGAGATTAAACAAGAAACAATAAAAATATCATTTCTACGGATTTTTAAATAATTGGATACTATTTTATATGTGGAAAAGGTGACATTAATTTTTTTCACTTTTAGGGAAAAGTAAAACATAAATCAGGTCAAAAATTGTATATGAAATTGATTGTAAATACATTAGAAATACCTTATATGCCTCTACATATAAGTATTTTTTTTCTATTCAGACTTGAATGATTTTTCTGGGTTCTTTTCATCAGTATCCAGTTTTGGAATGCAATCATGTCTGATATGGGAGTATTTCACTGTCATTTTGTGACTGTTAACTTTTATTTTCATCTCAATATGATTTAAGTAGACTAAATTTTCCAGTTCTGCAGATTCGGCCGGGGGGGGGGGGGGGCCCCCCAGATATACAAATCTTTAAAGGTCCCTGAAATCAAACTTGATTTCTGTAAGAATATGAATTATTTGTTCTCCTTGGATGGTTTAATTTAATGGTTCTGAATATGAAGAAAAAGTGTTTGGATTTTCTTGAGATGCAGTGTTGCTGTTGAGCAGGGTTAATATTTCTAACTATATTGCTTGTAGCTGACCCCATTCTAGGATTTATTTGGTTTGGTTTGGTTCAAGTTAAAAGAGGGCAGGAACGAAGTGGGGTAAGCTACTTGAGGTGCTGCTTGTGCTAGGGTAGATACGTTCCTACACACAGAAGTTGCCACAGGGCTCAGGTTCCTGTCTTCAGTAGCAGATCTCAGTACCTGTCCGCGGTATGGAAACAAGCCAAACCAAATGAACGCTGGAAAATCTAAAATGAACGTACATTTTCTTCTGTGTAAATTACCACCATGGTCCTAATGATAATATCAGTCTGATCGCAACTTTCTTCTCATTGTATTTATGCTGAATATTTCTTTTCCATTTTCAGGATTTATGCCTGTAAGAAACTTCTACTTAACTCTGTAAAATAAGTGTAAAGAATTATATGTACATTTCTTGATTTTGTGATGAAATATTAAAAATGTTGAGCAAGTTGAAAATGCATTGCTATTGCATCTATTCAGAGCTTCCTGATTTAAAATAACTGCTTCCTTCAGAAAGACTGTTGTTATTCCCTAGTTATTGGAATGGGGAGTGTCACCAAAACAAAGATACAAGTATTTATTGACCGCCTCAATCCTAAAGTACTGCACATTTAAAAAAAACAAAAACAAAACAAAAAACCTACATGGAGAACATGGTAATTCTTCAGGCACAATAAAATCTGGAAATTAGAAGAGAGCGGTGAACAGCTAGCTCTTTTTGAAGACTGTGGAATGTGGCTGCCCCTCGCGCGCCTTACCCAGCCCTGCAGGGCATTCGGGATGTCTCTCTCTGGCTTTCTTTGAGGCGTCCCCGGATCCGGAGAGACGCCGCCTTAGGACTGCTTGGAGTAGACCACCGTGGGTCCATGGCGGTGATGGTGTGGGGTTCCCTTTCTTCTATAATACATACAACATCCGGCCCCCTTCCCGCCAACCCGCGGGTGGCACTGTAGGGACCGGCACGAACCCTGGGGCATTTGGAGCCCTCGGACGGACCCACACAAAACGGAGAAGCAACCAGGTAGACTGACTGGGGTCGAGCGGGGTGGCCTCCGGAGTGGGAAGGAACGGGGAAATCGGCCCTTGAGACCCGTAGGGCGCCCGGAGATCTCTACCTCTGGTGGGACTAGGGTGTCTCAGTGAAGCTCTGGGCAGCAGTGACACACACGACCATGTTTTGAAGGGGTCCCGAAGTGGTAGGTCAGAAACCGGGGCGGTGTGGGGATATCCGGGAATCTCGACCCCGGCTACCCCTTGTAGGTGCTTGCAATGCGAGGCATCTAAGACCCCGGTTTCCCTGGGAATTGAAACAGAGCAAAGGGGATAACCCTTTAACCTTGGAGTTGTCGGAAGGGGAAGGGGCACCTGCAACCCCGAGGGTGGGGATGCCACAGAGCCCGCGTTAGCCGAGAGCGCGGGGTTCGCCCACCCGCGGGGCTGCGGCGTACAGCCGGGCACTTCTGGCGCGAAATCGCAGGCCCCGCCCGAGGATCGGCGCGGGGCGCGGCCCCCAGCCCAGCCCGAGCGCCGCGGCGGCTGCCACTCCTTACTCCTCGTCCCTGGGTGAGCGTGCCGCTGCCCACCGCCTCCAATCACTACTCTGCTCGGAGGGCTTTAAATATGCATGGGCACGTCACGTTGTATGAGTCGGGACCGGTCCGTAGGGAGGGAGCCAATATCTATATAAATGTGGCCAGGGTGGGCCGGGAAGAGAGGGAGGTGGGGCGGGGGTCTACAGCCCCGGTGACCGCAGCCCAAGTTGGCGACACCGGTGAGTTGCTCCTCTCTCGGCTCTCCCTCGCTGCTTCTATCAAAGGAGCGCTGACCCGGGGAGGAGGTGGGAGGTGCCGCGGGTGCCGGGCGCCCCCCGGTCCCCAGGCAGCCGGCACCCCAGAGAGGACCTGGCATTTGGGCCCAGAAGGCGTCGGACTAGAGGAAGGCACGTTCCCTAAGGGCGTGTGGTCACTGCCGCCTTCTACTACCAGTCTGCTTCTGGAGCGAAGTCCCTGTCCGAGGTTTTAAATCTTGGTTTTGGTCCCCAAGCCCCAGGCCCTTTCCGGACCGAACAGGTGAGCGCTGCGTGCTACCAGCGCCCCAGCTCTCGCGCCCCCAGTGCTCCGAGCCGCCTGGCCGCCCCCCGCAGGCTCGCCATGTTCCCCTGGGGGCTGAGCTGCCTGTCAGTGCTGGGGGCAGCGGGCACCGCTCTCCTGTGCGCCGGCCTGCTGCTCAGCCTGGCCCAACACCTCTGGACGCTCCGCTGGACGCTGAGCCGGGACCGGGCCTCCGCCCTGCCCCTGCCCAAGGGTTCCATGGGCTGGCCCTTCTTCGGCGAAACGCTGCACTGGTTAGTTCAGGTGAGTGGCTCACACCCCATCGTGCTCTCACCCCGACATGACCCCTTCCTCCCTGACTCCCACGGGACCCTCCTCGCTCTCAGTGTGCTCCCAGGGTTCGTAGCCGGTCTCGTCCTATTGCCCAGGGCCCCAGAGAGCATACACAGCCCTCGCCTTTGTCCAGCTGCTCCCTCGAAGGGACCGTATGTCACCGGGGTTCTCCCCAGCGCTACTTAAACACGACACGACACGACGCCAGGGTGAACAGAGGGGTTCTAAGAAGCATTCGCTCTATACCCTGCAAGCACATAATCAGGAAGCCCGGGCGCTCTCAGCCATGAGCCCTCGGGCTCTCACATCCCCATTCTGAGCCTCAGTCTCTTCCTCGCCCCAACGGGAACAGGAGAATCTACATTTCAATGGGGTAGTCGCGAGGCCCATTTGAGACTCGGTTTTGTAGAGACTCCACGCGCCGGCCTGGAGCAGGGAGTTGTTACCGAGGGGCGGTTGGGAGGCCTGGGCCAGACCCCCAGCCGAGACCCAGCAGCTCCAGCCTCGCTCCGCCTCGCTTGCAGGGCTCTCGCTTCCACAGCTCCCGCCGGGAGCGCTACGGGACAGTGTTCAAGACGCACCTGCTAGGCAGGCCGGTGATCCGCGTGAGCGGCGCCGAGAACGTGCGCACAATCCTGCTGGGCGAGCACCGCCTGGTGCGCAGCCAGTGGCCGCAGAGCGCGCACATCCTACTGGGCTCGCACACTCTGATCGGCTCAGTCGGTGAGCCGCATCGGCAGCGGCGCAAGGTGAGCCAAAACCTGCGATTCCTGGGCACCTATTGTGGGTCAGGCCAGGGCTAGGTTTCAGGGGCACACTTGGAAGCTGGCAGAGCCCCCTGGCTAACCAGTGGTGGCTTTGGTCCAGTCCCTTACCTTTTGCCGCTTTGGGTTATAAGGCTAGGACTGGGACTTAAGGGACATTTCATCTCCAATCTTCTATGTGTGGATGATACCAGAATGGGTGGGGAAAAGGGACCAGAAAGCCCCCCTTGGAGAGGGACCAGGGACGACTTCCCGGAGGGAGTGGCAGCTGGAACCTGGATGGATGGGAGGGACTGTAAACAGAGATTTAGAGTCTGGGAATGGCGATAGCAAAAGCCAACACATTTAGGTCTGGGCCGCTTAGAAGAAGAGAAGGGGACCGACATTGGCATTCTGGTGCCTCTGGAATCGCGGAGCAGAGGAAGCCGGACCATGGCCAGTGCTGACCCCGCGGGCTTCCCACAGGTCCTGGCTCGAGCGTTTAGCCGTGCGGCGCTGCAGCGGTTCGTGCCCCGCCTGCAGGGGGTGCTACGGCGCGAGGTGCGCTCCTGGTGCGCGGCCCGCCGGCCGGTTGCTGTCTACCAGGCCTCCAAGGCTCTTACCTTTCGCATGGCTGCGCGCATCTTACTGGGGCTACGGCTGGACGAAGCGCAGTGCGCGGAGCTGGCCCGGACCTTTGAGCAGTTTGTAGAGAACCTCTTCTCGCTGCCCCTGGACGTACCCTTCAGCGGCCTGCGCAAGGTACTGCCGCTCTGGCCTCAGACCTTCCTCGTGGGGCTTCCCAGCGTGGGTGTGTCTTCCAGGCGAAGACCAGTCTCTCTGCGCGCCCCACGCGTCGCCTCTCCGGGGGAACCGAGGCTTCGCCCAGGGTGGGGAGGTGGCATGGTGTGGCGGTGGGCGTCGGGGCTGGCCTGTCCTCACTGGCTGTGCGATCCCAGCCTCTCCGGGCCGCGCCTGCCGGGCCCGCGCGCTCGACCCAGCAGTCGCTGGCTTCCTGACTTTGGGTCTCCGTGGTGGGCACCCAGGCCGTCATCCCAGCACGTCTCCAGAGCGGTGCCCCCTGGCCCGGCCTCCAGCGCCTTTGTGGAAGCCCGGATGGCTGCGGAACCGATGGGAGCACTAGCCCCGCACACACTCCCCCGGCCTAGCCCGGGTCGGAGAGGTGTGGGTGCCGGCTTCCGTCGCGGCCCCGGCCCCACTGATTTCTGGATCAGAGAACCGCTGCTTCTTCAGACCTCAGAGCTGTGGGCCAGGCCCAGAGAGCAACCAGGAGGGCCGAATTTGCCTTTTCCTTGTCTGTAAGCTGGGGCTTCTCACTGTCCTGATGCCTTGGTTTTTGTTTCCCCGAATAAAAAGAATGGTTATGTATAAAGGGGCATGCTGTAGGCTGATGGCTTTGAATGCTTTTTCTGATTTAATCCTCTCAGGCTGCAAAGTGTTATTATTCTTATTTTACTGGTGAAGAAACTGAAGCTCAGAGGTTAAGTGACTTACCCAAGATCACACAGCCGGCCAGGAGAGGCAGGATTTGAACCCCATCTCCTATGATCTGAAAACCCAAGTGCTCAGATGCTTTTGCTGTGTTGCTCCCTGAACTGCCTACCTCTTGCCTACCTGCTTACAGAGGCTAATGCTTAGACCCACCTCCAGTAGTGTTCTCTAAGCCAGAGCTCTTTTGGATCCATTAAAGTGTGCCTTCCTGTCTACACTGGTGCCCACTGCCCCTGCCTAGTCTAGTGAAGGCAAAGGGCAATGGACTGATTTCACCCCACCAGGGACAGTATGGAATGTGATCACCAAGAGAGAATTATGTGTAGAGATGGTGGATAAATTCCTGAGCATTTATTGAGCTCCTGCTATGTGCCAGGCATGAAGCTAAGCTGAGAAACTTGACACCTGGATCTCAGTGGACCAGAGCAGCCCAAGGAAGAAGATTTGGGGGTTAGGTGTGCAGGCCTGGCCCCCTCAGACTTCCTGTCCCACCTCCCCTCTCTCCTCACATATCAGGGCATCCGGGCACGAGACCAGTTACATCGGTACCTGGAGGAGGCCATCGTAGAGAAGCTTCACGAAGACAAGGCTGCCGAGCTGAGTGACGCCCTCGACATGATTATCCACAGCACTAGGGAGCTGGGCCATGAGCTCTCAGTGCAGGAGCTGAAGGTAGGTGGTGGGAAGGTTTTACTTCTCCCCCTTTTGCATTCCTAGCAGGTCTCCATACACATGCTACATCCTTTCCTCCCGGCCCCTAACAGAGTCCTGTTTGGCTCCACTTTAAGCCCTGGGAACTCCTTAGGGGGAGGGGAAAGGGGAGACATGGGTTCCAGCCATGGCTTAGCCATACCCACCAGCTCTGTGGCCTTGGGCCAGTCACCATCCCTCTCTGTAGGAGTGTGGAAAGGCACGAATTCTCGGCCCTTACTTACAGGTTCTGGCCACAAACAGACCTGCTCACCCACACCCTTCTCTGTCACTCCATGCCTTTGCTTCTGCAGTCCCCAGTCTATGAAATCCCCTCCACTCCTTTTCTCTACAAACCCTAAGGGCTCAGGGTCAAACTCCATATCTTCCTTGAAGCTCCCTCTTCTTCTGGAAATCAACATTCTCCTTCCCTGAGCCACCTTGTCACCTGGCACTGCTAACCTCTTTGGCCACTGCGTGGTCTCTCCAAGTTTAGAGCCCCTCCCCATGTATGCATAGAGCACAGGCAATGGAAGTAAGGAGAGAAGCTTTGGAATGGCCCCCAGGACCTGCTGGAGAACACAAAAAGGAGTGGAGAGGTTGGGGAGGCAGAGGAAAGTTAGAAATGGGAACACCTCAACCCTTCCAAAAGCAACTACCAGTCTTTCTGAGTTAATTTCCCACTTTGCAAGACCCATGCAGGGTAAGGCTCAGCCTTAGTTTCTTCTCTGAGAATGGAGCTAATAATCTGTCTCCTGACTCCTGGGGTTATGAGAGCTGCAAGAATCCAGGGGGTTAGAAGTAAATGAGTCCTGGGAGAGCCCCTGGATAGGAATAGTTCCTAGCTCTGAAAAGGAGTGTTTGACAGGGTGTGACAACACCCTCCAGGTTCTCAGGAAGAAACCCACTGATCAGGAATCTTCAGTTCTGGTCTGGGCATCAGGGGCAGGCCAGGCAGATTAGGCCTGGCCAGGAAGGACACTGGGACTCCCCATGTTGTCCAGGGCGGGCAGTTAGCCTTGGACCAGGTCATTCATACCACAGATATTATGATATATCTATTTGGTGTCAGGCTCTACACTGGGACTGAGGATATAGCGGTGAGCAAAACACAGCCCCTGGCCTTGAGGTGCGGGAAGGGAGGGGTACACATTCATCCCATGATCAAATAAATAAATGTATAAACACAAACTGTGGGTGCCACTAGGAACGAAGACACCAGGAGCTGGGAGGGCAGAGGGAGGCAGTAAGTGCTGGGGCTTGGAGGATGAAGCCCTCTGTGCTTACTAGTCAGTGCAGACCAAGAAGAGGTTTAATCACTCACTGGACCACTCCACCCAGCTGGAGGAGGAAGCCCTGATGACTCCTTTGCTTGGAGGCTGGCGCCGCTGCTACAGGTGCCTTCCTCTGTCCTCCTCCCATCCCAATTCACTGTCAGGACGCCCAACAGGGATTCAGGCAGCACCACCAGGTGGTTTAGAGCCCTGGACTCCTGAGCCCGGCCGCTGGGACTACCTTGAGCGCCTCTTGGAGCCTCAGTTTCCACTTCTGTAAAACGAGGGCAGTAATTGTGCCTTACAGGGTTGGGATGAGAATCAAAGGAGTAACGCTTAAAGCACTAAGAATAGCACACAGAATAAGTTCCTCGCGTCTCTGGGAGCCCTTCCAAAGTAAGTGGATAGATCCTGGTTTGGGCCGTTGCTATATGTGGCTTTCTCAAGGGGCAGACTTGGGATTCGATCGACTCCGGGCCTGCTTACGGAGCTGCCACTCTGGCTTTTGCTCAACGGTAAATTTGGGCCCTTTGCTCCCCAGCCATAGGGCCGGGAGGCCTTGCGGCCAGGGCCCGCTGCGGGAGACTCAGCGCCGCCCGGGCTGTCTTGCAGGAGACGGCTGTGGAGCTCCTCTTCGCCGCCTTCCTCACCACGGCCAGTGCCAGCACGTCCCTCGTCCTGCTGCTACTGCAGCACCCGGCGGCCGTCGCCAAGATCCGGCAGGAGCTGGCGGCGCAGGGGCTGGGGCGCGCTTGCGGCTGCGCGCCGGGGGCCGCGGGGGGCGGCGCGGGGCCCCGGCCCGACTGCGGCTGCGAGCCTGACCTCAGCCTGGCGGCGCTGGGCCGTCTGCGCTACATCGACTGCGTGGTCAAGGAGGTGCTGCGCCTCCTGCCGCCCGTGTCCGGGGGCTACCGCACTGCGCTACGCACCTTCGAGCTCGACGTAAGTGCGCGCGCCGCCCCGCACCCCGCCGCCTCCTGCCGCGGGGTCGACCGGGCGGGGTCGACCGGGCGGGGTCGGGGGGATTAGGACCGCGAGGTCACCTCTTCCCGCCCCCCCCCCCCCCCCCCCCACCCGGGGCCTCCGATTTCCGCCTACGAAGGGCGCCGAGCCCTGCCCGGTTTACCGGGAAGCACGGTTGAGGGGGCGCGAAGCCTGGCGTCTGGTGAGCGGATAAGACTAGGAACCCCGCCTACTTGAGCTTTCAGCGGCGGTGAGGGTCGGTCAACTCAATCAGAACCGAGTTTCAGAATAAGACATTCTTTTCTCCGCGCAGCACTCCCGTTAGCCAGTGAGTGTGGGTGGGAAACAAGGAGAGCCCCCAACTGTGTCCCGTACCCCACCCTCTGCTGCCTCACAAGCAAGGAACCGGCCATTGTTAGCCAGATCTGGCTCCGTTTGTATTAAGCCCTTGGGCAATTCCCTCTTCGCTCTGGGCCTCAGTTTGCTCTCTGGAAGGAAGTAGTCTTGGTCCCTTCCAGCTCTGACACGTCAGTCAGGTGGTGTCAGGGCTGGGCGGCACAGTGACAGCATCAGAGTGGAGCCCTAAACTTGTGAAACTGAGGATGTTTGCCTGAATGGCTGTCACTGCGGTCCCCCTCGACCCCCAGCTCAGTCGCTGGGCGGCTCCGAGCAGAGATGGGGCACTCCCTTCCCTGACCCTCGCTTTAAACAGCCAAGGAACATCTGTGGCCCATTCCACACCAGGGGTGGAGTGAACCATAGCTACCGGGATTCTGCCCTGGAGGAAATCATCAGGAGAGAAAGGAGGCCAGGGCCTATACTTCATACCAAATGGATGTGAGGAAGATAGAGATCTGTAGTAAGGAATGACACCAAAATGTTTTGGGGGCTGACGTTTGAAATGGAACAGCACACCAGCAGAGAGGGGGACCATTCAGACAAAGTTGGGTGGAATCATGAGGTGTTTAGAAGTGTCTTGGATGCTGCATCTTGGAATTCAGACTTTATTCTACAGTCTCTAAGGGAAACAGAGGAAGAGGAGCACAGGTCCACCAAGGGGAGCAGAGGGAGAGCCATTGTCCAGTTTACAGATGGGAAAACTGAGGCCTAGAGAGGAGAGAGAGAGAGAGAGAGACAATGTTTTTTGGTGATTCCAAGATCTGTCACCTGTTGAGACCCACTGAATAGACATCCTGAAGCTATTCAGGCTAGGGAAGCAGGAGAGTTAGGGGGTTGGAAGACACATCAAAAAGTAGAATAGTTGAAAAAGCTGAAGGTGGATAGAGGAAACATGAAGGCTGCCTTACAACCTTTTAAGGGTGCCTGGGTTTGAGTCCCATGTTCGCTTCCTTAAAGTGTGGCTACCAGACCTGAATATGATTGCACAGCAAGTGGAATGGGGGTGGGAGGGTGTTCGGGTAGAGAGTCAGTTTTCAGTTCAATGCAAAGAAGAGCCTTATAATTGAGCAGATCATAGAGGAATGAGGGTCCCTGTCATTTGTGTTGTTCCCGCCCATGCAGAGAGTGGGTGCAGAACTAGAACTTAGGTCTCTTGATCTAATGTCAGAAGAAAAAAGAAAGACAAACAAAACAAAACACTGAAGCATACATAACAACAGATTACATTTACTGACCATCAATATATATGCCAGACTTATTCTATTCTCACAACAACAAAACGGGCATTTTTGTTCCTGTTTTACCAGTTAAGAAACTGAGGCTCAGAGAGATTGAGTATCCATCCTAAGGTCACACAGCTCACCAGAAAAGGAGCTGAAATTGGAACGCAGAGCGTTCTCCTAGCTTCCGGGTTAGATGAACGTTCCTGCCGATTTTTGGAAGCCTGTTGTTTGCACCCAGGGTGGAGGGTCGGGTCGGGCCTGGGTCCCAGGTGCCTCGTGGTCAGGTGGGTCTCCTCATTCCCCGCAGGGCTACCAGATTCCCAAGGGCTGGAGCGTGATGTATAGCATCCGGGACACGCACGAGACGGCCGCAGTGTACGGCAGTCCGCCTGAGGGCTTCGACCCCGAGCGCTTCGGCGCGGCGGGCGAGGAGTCGCGGGGCGCCTGCGGCCGCTTCCATTACATCCCCTTCGGCGGCGGAGCGCGCAGCTGCCTCGGCCAGGAGCTGGCACAGGCCGTGCTCCAGCTGCTGGCGGTGGAGCTGGTGCGCACGGCGCGCTGGGAACTGGCCACGCCTGCCTTCCCCGCCATGCAGACCGTGCCCATCGTGCACCCGGTGGACGGGCTGCGGCTCTTTTTCCACCCGCTCGCGCCTTCGGCGGCGCGAGATGGGCTACGCCTCTGACCCTCTGCGCTTCGGAACAAGGCTTGGCCAGCGGCAGCGGCGTGCTCTCAGCGCCGCCCATCTGCGGCTTCTTAGGTTTCTTAGTGCCGGGCAGGGCGCTCGCTCACTCGCTCAACAAACGGTCACCGAATGCAGCTCTGTGCCAGACTTTGAGGGCGGAGGAGCGCGAGCCCCCGCCACTGCGCCCACGGAGCCCGGGAGAAGCGCCCAGGCCGGTGGGAAGGTGCTTCCTGGCCTCTGAGCCCTGAGGAAGGAAAGGTCCTGAGCCCAGCCTCTTAAACCTTTACTAGGTTTGCTAACAGGGATGGAGGGAACAGATCTTCACTAGGAGCTGCGGGTCCTCGCCTCCCTGTGCCAAGCCCAGGAGGTTGCATGGATCTTGGGGCCGCGGGGACGATTGTCAGGGGAGGGTTGGACCGTGCCAGAGACCCAGCGAACGCAGCTGGGACCTGCAACCCTTGGGAGGAAGCGCATCTCCGGTCTGGCTTTGGGCTACAGTTAAGACATACCGAGAAGGCGCCCAACGGAAGGCCCTCAGGGAGCGGGCCTCGGCTTGGGGCCCCGCGGCCACTCTGCTGGTCTCAGTCTCAGCAGAAACATGACTGTGGGCTCTCCCAGGGCTCTGAACAGCTCAATATCATTGGATTCTGCTGGTGACTTCTTAAAAGAAAAATTCCTACTTCGAGAACGTGTTTAATCTTTCCACATATACAAGGGAGAACAGGCACATGGAGATGTCTCTAAGGCTGGATTATTTTCATGGGAGGTTGAGACATAATCAGAGAGGTTTGGGATATTTCTAGCGATAACAGAAAGGCCAAGAAGAAAGTTTCCCGGCAGCAGTTGAGCGAGGAGGCTAAGGCTTAGCTGGGCAGCTGCTTCCTGGTGGGAAGGTGATGGAGGTTACCCAGGAAAGACCCACCCCAGAGTATGCCCAGAGCTGTCCTCCTGAGCACATCCCAAGAGCTGGGCTGAGAATTCTCTCTGTAATAGCTGGCTGCAGGGACCTACCGGTTTACTACCGCAACCCCCTCCATGGCATAGGAGAAACAGAAGACTTCCCTGAGGAACTAGCAATGTGCTCCCGGGCTATTTGGCCAGTGGACTGGCCACCCCATCTGGACTCCTCTACCCCATCACTTACTCCTTGCTCGGGCCTCTGGGCCTGTGGCTACCATGTAGGGCTCAGCCCTTTGTCCTTTCATAGTGATCCCTATGGCTTAAGGACTCTGACACAGAGGTTTCCACTGGTGTTTAAATCGAAGCCAAGAGCCTCCAGTGGCACCATTCCCAACAGCCCACTGCAACCTGCCACCCATCTTCAGACAGGCCAGGGCAGCTGGACATGATGGGTGAGCCAGGGAAGTTGCCACCGAGGCCCCAAGCTGACCCCTTAGTGAACCAGAAGGAAGCTAGTGCCCTCCTGACCTTATGCTTAAGGTGGATCCCCGGGCCAGAAGGAAAGGGGGAAGCAGCAGGCGCAGGCAGGGTCAGTAGCTCAAGAGCTCAGCGGGCCCTTCCGAGAGAGCTCGGCTGACACTGCCATAACCCCCATGCAGGGCAATTCATCACCCACTGCTGATCACAGGCCCGGCGCCAGGCCATGGGCTTTGGGAGGCAGTGGAGCCAGCAAAAGTGGCAGAACCGGGGCCTGTCCTCAGGGTGCTCCCTGAGGCTGCAGACAACATCCGGGCTGAGAAGCTCCACCAGGGGGAGGGGGCAGGAGGATCGAGGCTTGGGGTGGATTCTGACTGGGGGGAAGAGAGGAGAAACATAGGAAGGAGGTTCTCCAAAGCCTCCATGGTGTATGTGGTAAGAGACCTGGTTTACCTGCTCTGGGATCTGTACTAACTATAAGCTCCAGTAGGGGCAGCTTCAATTTCCCAGCGATACATCATTTTCAGTAATTTCAGGGAATATCTGAGCTCCTGTTTCAGTAGTTCCAGATTCTCTGAGGAAGGAGCATACTGGTTCTTGCCCTCACGGGCTGCATATGCTTACGAAGGAGGTAGATAATAAATAAACTAGCAAGCGAAAGAGCGAGAGTATGTCACACGGTGGTAAGTGCTGTCAAGAAAATAAAAGCTGGCTGTAATACCTGGTACCTGGGGGCTAGACTCTGCAGGGTGGGAAGGTGGAAGACTTCCGTGAGGAGGTGACATGTGACTTCGGAAGGAACCAGCCAGCGGTGATCTGGGAAAGGTGCTCCCCAAGCAGAGGAAACAGCGAGTGTAACACCCTGAGACAGGAATGGGTGCCCAAGAAGTGGAAAAGGATTGGAGGGTAAAAGGTGAGGAAGGGTGCTGGGAACTGACCTGACTCGCGTCTCACTCTGGGTCCTCACTCCCCTCCTCCAGCAAAAACAAAAACAAAACAAAACAAAACAACCCAAAAAACAAAAACAAAAACAACACACTCTCCACCCCCAACCCTTAGCAACCGGGAGGCTATTTTGTAAACATCTTGGAAATATTTTGTTTTCCCGGAACCAATCCTTATCCCGCCCACCACCACTGAAGAAAGCTTGGCAAGTTTTCTAATCAAAGTTCTTATCGGGTTGATAATTTATTGACCTCTTCCCCCATTCAAGATGTTCTTTAATGATCTTCACTTTCACATTTAATCCTTTCCTGCCTGACAACCCCGCTGGATGCCCCCGCGTGTCTCGACGGGCAGATTTATTAGAACTCTCCCCCTCCCCCGGCAATTTCCAGCACGCAGGCCCCACTCATCTTGTGACCCGGCGCGCGCTGAACTTGGCGAGGTGGCCCTGCAGAGTTCACTCGGATGTCACGGTCCGGGCTGCAGGGGTCACAGGCAGGTCAGGCCAGAGGATTGGGAATGGGCCCCAGGTCACGCCCCCGCTCGCCAGTTTTGCTCACCGGCCCGAGCGCTGTCTAGAAAGGGGCGGGCCCGGGATTTCTGCGAATCACTTCTGGTGCGTCTCGCGCGGTTCGTGCCGGTGCCCAGAAGTTGGCTGGCACCGTTTGCAGTCGCCAAACGGTTAGAGGAAATGACGGTGGGAAAGACCCTTCTCTAGAGCCTCTGAAACACCGAGTAGGGTTATGCGGGAAACGCAGACTGCCAAGCAAGCTCTGTGGCGACTCCGGCTTGGAGCGTTGCGGGACCGTGCAGTCCCTAGGACTCCACATTTTCCAATCCCGCCAGCTTTGGGGACCACCGCGGGAGGGTCACGTATTTAACAGCTCTTACGATCAAAGAGTTTTCCATTTACAAAGGACGCCTTCCGAGGCGTGCGGCGTGCTCCTGCAAAAGCCGGCGTTTAGTTTTAAACAAACGTATTCTGTTTCGTTTTCCGCGCGGCTGGTGAGTCCGGCACTCAAACTGAGGATGCATGTGGCCCCGCCAGGTGTGAAGTGGGGAGCGCACGTGCACTCCGCAGTGTCCGAGCTCCGGGCATCAGGCATCGGCTGCAGGAGCGGCTGATTGCAGCTGGGCAAGGGCCAGACCTGCTTCCGAGGATGGATTCTCTCAACACTCCCATTAGCGGCCGGCAGAGGCCTGGGTTCAGGGCCAAGCACCCCTCTCACCCGGGTGGCTTCGGTGGGTGGGGGCCGTGAGAGCGGAGGAAGGCTCCAGGTCATCCTGGTGACATAATCTAGTGCGTGGAACTGGGGAAAGTATTTGCAACCAGAAGCCCATCTTGAAAACACAACTATCCCGGTGTGTTGTGTAGACGGATTGGGAATTACTGCCTTCATATTAAGGAGAAGGAGACAGGAGCAAGGATTTGTGGTGACTCACTCCAGGTCGTGCAAGTAGAGATGGAGCCGAGCCCCGGAGCACAGACTCCTGGGCTTTCCTTTCTCTATCTCTGTCACCTCATCTTCCCAGGCCTAAGGATCCCCTTCCTCTCCGCCTAGCTGGGGCGATGAGTCCCAGGGCCCTCGGAATCCGGCCGGCTGCTGCCGGTTCTCAGAGCGCTGAGCCCTGGATGAATTGCCCCTGTGGTCTCCCGCTGGGGCGTCAGAGTTGGGGCTCTGACTTGTGCAAGGTTACACCTGGAGTCCTGAGGGATCTGGAGGCTCTCTTGTACCCTTAAGTTGGACCTTTCAAGACTTCATGAGTGCTGACCTCCTTGAGGGGTTTGGGGAGCTGGGATCTATGATCCTCGGATCATGTCTGACCCCCGCCCTGCACGTACACACCACCCCGGCTCTCGCTTAGGTTCTGGCCCTGGGCTTTTCTGCGGGATCTTCGGGAGATTCGGGAGGTCTGCGTTTTGCACTGCGTTCTGGAACTCAGTTTCCCCAGCGTGGGACGTGGCAAGCCAGTCGGTCCCTGAACGCACTTCCCTTTGCTTCCGCCAGCAGGTGGAAGGGAGCCCACGCGGCGCCTGAAAATGAAAAGCCATTGAAGGCAGCTCTGGGACCGCCCGTCGGACCCTGCGCGAGGGATTCCAAAAAGATCACCAGGAAGCCCAGGGCTTGGAGTTCCCGCTCCCCGGAGCCCAAGTCGGCCTCTGCCGCCGTCTCGGAGCCCCGCACACCTTGTAAGGGGGAGGCAGGCTTCTCTCTAGCCTCGCACCCCAGGAGGCGCGTTCCGAGGGAAGCAGCCACCGTGCCGCCTCTGCCTCGGCGTGGAACAAACGGTTAAAGATTTTGGGCAGCGCCTCGCGGGGGGAGGAGCCAGGGGCCCAATCCGCAATTAAAGATGAACTTTGGGTGAACTAATTGACCAAGGTAACGTGGGCAGCAACCTGGGCCGCCTATAAAGCGGGCGCGCGGCGGGGTTCGGAGCGCTGGCGACGGCGGCAGGTGGCGCGGGAGGCCGCGGCGCGCCATGGGGCTCCCGGCGCTGCTGGCCAGTGCGCTCTGCACCTTCGTGCTACCGCTGCTGCTCTTCCTGGCCGCGATCAAGCTCTGGGACCTGTACTGCGTGAGCAGCCGCGACCGCAGCTGCGCGCTCCCTTTGCCCCCCGGAACTATGGGCTTCCCCTTCTTTGGGGAAACACTGCAGATGGTGCTACAGGTAAGGGAGCTTGGGCGGGACAGGACGATTCTCAGGAGCCCGACTGGGCTCAGGGCTTCCAGAAGCCAGGGTAGGCGTCCCTTTGAGGGAGGTGACTATGGCTAGGATCCGGGCTAGCCGGAGGCGCGGCGCTCCCCGGCGCCCCCTCACGCCTGTCTCTCTCCTCCGCCCTCCTCTCCCAGCGAAGGAAGTTCCTGCAGATGAAGCGCAGGAAATACGGCTTCATCTACAAGACGCATCTGTTCGGGCGGCCCACAGTGCGGGTGATGGGCGCCGACAACGTGCGGCGCATCTTGCTCGGGGAGCACCGGTTGGTGTCGGTTCACTGGCCCGCGTCGGTGCGCACCATCCTGGGCTCCGGCTGCCTCTCCAACCTGCACGACTCCTCGCACAAGCAGCGCAAGAAGGTGAGGGCGGCGGTGCCCGGACAGGGAGGGGGACCCTGTCCCCTGGAGGGGTTCTAGCAGATAAATGCCGGGCGAGCGCTAGCTGCACGAGATGTCGGTTGGGACCCGTTCAAGCCCAGTTTAGCTCTATCAGCCGAGAAGTGCCTTGGGTCTGGCAGCGGTGAGGGGGGCTGGAAGGGGATCCCGGAAGACGAGGGGGGCGGTTTTAACACTTTCCCTCTTTTGGAGCTCAGGTGATTATGCGGGCCTTCAGCCGCGAGGCGCTCCAGTACTACGTGCCGGTGAT